GTGGAACTGCTGAGTGAGTGTATCTTTTAACCCCCATACCTGAATCTTTGCTTTGTGAAGGGTGACCATAATTGGAGCATGTGAAACAGTGCTACTGCTGGAATTATCATTCTTTCTCCTGATATGAGCTTTCAATAAATACTTTGCATTAATTTAGACACAAGGTCGAACAAACTTCCTGTATCATAAGTGGTTTCTAGTTAGCTGAAAGACTTCTATTCTCTCCATATTCAATGGGAACACTTTAGTTCTGTGTTACCAGCCATGGCAATTTCATTTTATGTCTGTGTCCTTCAATGCTTTTCTTAACATTCCAGACCCTGGAATTAAAAGGAAGAAAACACTTTCTGTCCCCTTCCTCCCCTTGTTTCCTCCCTCTGCATCCTTCTGTGAAGTGTTTATGAGAATATCTTCCCCTGCTAGATCAAATGTGTGACCTTTGAATACAGGAACGATGCCTATACCCCCTAGGCTGTGGAGCCTAGACCCTGTGTTCTTTGCAGATCTTGCTGCTGGTGAAATATTCAGTTGCACTTCAGTGCTCCCTACTGGCTAGGTGATCCTAAAGGTACCCACTAAAAAGCCACCATATTTGTTACAGAAGTCTGTTATTTTGAGTCATTTACTGTACTGCTGTCATCACTAGATCATATGTGATAGTGAACACTTAGGAAGTTGTAACTTCATTCTATATATCTCTCTTGCAGTTTAGACGGTGCCTCTTACAACTCCTGTGCTTCCGCCTGATGAGATTCCAGAGGACCACGAAAGAGACGCCAGTGACAGGGCATGATAAACCAATACGGCCGATAGTTATGTCTCAGAAAGCAGGAGACAGGCCAAAGAAGAAAGTGACTTTCAGCTCTTCCTCTATAATTTTTATCATCACCAGTGATGAAACTCGGCAAATAGATGACAACAGCAAACATGATGAGACAAAAGTAAATGTCATTCAAGTAAAGCCACTATAGGGATGAGTTAAAGAGATGTGAGAATGAGATGGACTTCAGCCAGTAGACTGTTTAGGTTGGAAACCAGTTTTAGTGGCAATGCCTGTGGACTGCCAAGGGAAACCTCATTCTTAAGCTGTGAAATACTGAAGGGATTCTGCATCTAAGGCTCTGCAGGCAATTCAGTTTTGATCACAGTACTGAAATCTCTTCATCTGTGCCAAAATTGCTGATGGATGTCTTTACTATTCATTTTCTTAAAGCATATTGTAGGACTTCTATTCAGGAGATATTGGTCAGGCTGGAGGAATGCACAGACAGAAATGTTACACAGTTCAGCAAGGGCAAGTGCAGAGTCCTGCGCTTGGGAAGGAAGAACAATTCTGTAGCACAGCAGGCCAGGCCCTGGCTGCCTGGGATGCAGCTCTGTGGAAAAGGATGTGGAGTCCTGTTACACGAGGACATGAGCCTGCAGTGTGCCCTGGTAGCAAGGAAGGGTAGCAGCACCTTAGGCTGTACTGACAGTATTGGAGCCAGTAGTCTGAAGTAATTATGTCCTTGATTCAGTCTTCAGTAGACCATATCTACGTTATTGCATCGACTTTTGGGACCCCAAAGCAAGACAGATATCTGTAAACTGGGGTGAGTTCAGTGGAGTCCCCGAAGATTGTCAGGGGTTGTAGTACCTTACCTTGTGAGGAGAGGCTGGGGGTACTCCTCTTTACCAGCGTGGAGATGGAGCATCCTCACAGGAACCTAATATCAGCCTTCCAATAGAGATGGGGAGGTTTTCAACAAGATGGAGCAAGGCTCTTCAGGGCAATTCATAGTGGAAGTATCACAGACAATGAGCATGAACTGAAATAAGAGATTTGGGTGAGTAATAAGGAAAAGGTTTTTCACCCAAGAATAGCCAAACAATGGAACAAGTCATACTAGAGGCTTCCCAAGGTTCCTTTAGTATGGAGTTATAAGGGAAGAAGGAGGAAGAACGTTTGAGGTTTCCTACAGTTCAGTTGGTCTGAATTGGTGCTTTGCAGTGTAGGGGGTGAGAAAAGTGATGTCATCAATGACTGGGACTACAGTTAAACCAAAAGGCCTGAGAAAGCTGTCCTCTGTGCTCAGCAAGCCATTCTCTTGGTGCTATCTGGTAGGACCCATGAGATACATAGTGAAGAAAATCCTACCAATCAAAGCATCAATGAAAAAAGGTCAGTGAAAAGGGAGACTTGGTTTAGGTTTTGTTTTTTGTTTTTGTTTTTGTTCTTCAGTTATTACTATTATGTGCTTTATGCATCTTTATCTTGCATCCATTTATTCTGTACATGAACAGAACAGGACCAGGAACATCATCCTGTATTAATCCTGAACCTGCTCTGGCATTCTGGTGAAAGTAACTGTTAGGCAAAAGTTACCTTGCTCTTCTCTAATTGTAGTTGTAATGTGAGTGATGAGAGATCTAGTTGTAGTGTAAGTAATGATTTTCTTTGAGCTCAGTGAACAGAACAGATAGAGAATTTTGTCCTTTTTTTACACATTTTAAAATATTGTTGGTACAAAATGGTGACAGGATTCTGTCCCAGACGTGGCTTCCTGTCAGCATGGGGTGAGTAAGAGAACTAATTTTTAATTATGGCAGTTGGTTCTCCACCGCATCCATTGCACCAGTGTAATTTCTCTGCCTCAGTCTGGTAACAGGCAGTATGGATCTGCAACATGCAGCTTTTCGATCTCTGTGAAAGCTGTGAGAAAAGTAAGAAATTTCTTGTTTCCTCTGGGGACAAATCTTCTGAGAGGTTCAGAGGGAATGTGCACAATTACTGTTGGCACTGTAGCTTAGTCCTCTAGTCAAGAATGAAGCTTAAAAAATAAATACAAAAAATCAGGGTCTAAACGTAGAAGCTTTCAGCTAGTGTTCCTGGGAGTAGGGAGTGACTTCAGCTCAGAACAAGTGACATGGTGCTGTACCTGTGCTTTTGAAGAGGTAAATTTGTTATACATGCACCCCTCCAGAGCTTTAGCACTGGTAAACAGGCTCTGTGTTGTGTTTAAAAGTGCATCTGGAGTCCACTTTGGTTTCTGGATTAAATCGTATAATCTGAGAGAAAACAGATGGTGATATACTTGTCTTTGTTTCTTTCATATTTGTTATTTTTAATTTATTTAGTTTTTAAAATATGTTATTTTAAATGCGCAGAAAGTTGTCTTAACCATGTCAAATATCTGCTCTTACTGAAGCATGTTCATTGCAATTTCAAGAACTATGTTTTCAGTCAGTGATCACTACATCTATGCACATTCATATTTACAAATGGAGAAAGATGTACATTAGCATTCCATGTAATTATTCCATCCTTTTAACAAAATGTTTGGTATTTTAATGATTTCTGTATAATGAGTCTTCAGTGAGTGATTAAATGTACTTTATTTATATCAATGTGTTCTCTGTGAAGTACTTTTTCCCCCACCAAGAGGGAGATGGTTTGGTATCGTTACTTGTTAGGTACTGCTTGAATTATTGAAATGGCATTATCTCCTGAGAAAATAATAGCATTTCAGGATTCCAGCTGACCTTTGTAAAGAACAGGGAACGAGTATAGTGTCTATAAACTAAAAATACCCAAGATCTATGAAGGTCAAATTTGAGTAATTAACAACAGTATATGATTTTTAATGATTGATGTGCAACGATTATTAAAATACATAGCACACTAACAATTATGTAATAGATGAAAACTAAACACTAAATATTGTTGTAAAATTGTTATCTTGGCTACTTTGCATAACTTGGTGGCCTAAAACGATAAATCTTGTGAAACATTTATAATAACTTGTTATAGCCTGTAAAGCTTCACTAGCTTTGTAAATGTACCCATGTGAAGTTAGCATGCTGCAGTCCTGTTTGCTCGTCTTAAGCTTAACTATTTTCTGTGGGTGGCTGCAGCACTGATGCAAAATTCACACCCTGACACAGAACTTAAGCACTGTAGCAGTGAGGCTTTTAATATCACCAGGTTATTTACAGATTTTTTTAAATCTCTCTTAAAAAATTCAAGTCAGTCTTTGTTCTATTCTAGGGATGTCACAACTGGCTAGTTTAGCAAGGACTTGTGGGACCTTTCTCTCCCATTACAGGGAATGGAAGAGGAAGATGGTTAGTATTAACATTTGGACCATTAGCTGTTCCTAAAGTAACAGAAATGCAAACTAAGAAAGAGAGGGAGAAAGTGCAAAGGGCAAAAGGACACATTATTTATGAAGATTTTAAATAAACTAGTTGGTAAGAACTTTCATGATCCTTTCATCAAAGGGAAGTGGCAGGTGTGGTGAGTACCAGGATAGCCTCAGAGCCAATTAATTTCTCTTAATGATGTTTCATTGATTTCATGCATTACTGGAAAAATACATATGATGATATAGCTAGGATGTTATTTGTAACCTGCAAATGCAGGAACCTTGGTTAACTTGCTGCCCAGCAGCTGCTGGTCCCAGACTCTGTTGTGAGGCATTTCCACATCCCTTTCATGCTGAGGAAGGATCCCTTCTCATCCTGTGTTATGGGGCAGCCATGAATCCTGAAGCTGTATCCACTGACTTTGCTGCTGCCCTGGGTCCTATGGAGGCAAGGAACTGTGTGATCTCCACAGCCTTGTGACCTTCCTCCTTTTTCAGCTTCCAGAAGCATCTAGTTTTATGCTCCATGTATCTGACTTTATACAAGAGTCAAGTCTTAAACTACTTACACATTATCTTTTATCACAATGATTACATCAGTCAGCAGATCAGTATTCACATGCATTATCCTTTGTGCTCCTGTCCTTTACGTAATAGTGGTATCCTGCTGCTATTTCGTGCTAGAATACTGCAAAGGCTAAGTGAAATGGATATTTGAGCACTATATTGTGCTAAGCCATCCAGAAAGAACAGCCTTTAGGACTACATTTATCCTTGGCTTATATAAACAACCTTCAGCTCCAGAATGGAATTTCACTGAATAATATTCAGAGGTAAGAGATGAGAAAAATCTGACTATGATGGTAGAAGATTTCACAATCTCATATTTGACCCACATATAAACATCCCAGGTTTAAAATATCTCTTGTCAGGTATTTCTTTTGACAGTCTATTTCACCGCAGTTAAGGAGCCTTATTTTTTTGTCTATCACAAAGGAAAAGAGGAGGAGGGGGGTGAGGCTGGAACAGTCCCAGAGGGTGGGGATGCCAGCTCCTGCTGCTGTTAAAGGTTGGCAGTAGGTGCCCCTTTTGAGTTGGACTGCTACTTGCACATGCTCAAGTCCCTCCCTCTGTGGCAGCTAGAGCAGGATGAAAAGCAGGAGAGAGAAGAGCACAGCTGATCTCCCTTTCTTTTGCTGCAGGCAAGCGGTTCCGCCTTGTCCCACTTGTCTGATACCCAAGGCAGCTTTGCCTGCTGCTCTGACCTGGCTTGGCTTCTCATTTATCCAGTGCAAGCCAAACATTATGAATGACTTTTTCTCTCTCTCCTTACCAGATTAGTATTGAAGAATTACTTGTAACGCATTAAAGCTGGAGAGGAAATTAAATTGATTTTCAGTACAAATTAGAATGCAGGTTATTAGCAACAGGCTTGGCATCCAACGCAGCCTGGAGCTGGCTCTTCTGCCTCCCCTTTGCTGCATTTTCAAACAGCGTTTGCGCTCCCCCTTGTGGCTTGCTCAGGCCGGTGCCTGTTGACAGGAGAACGAGCCTGGCCTCCTAAAACCCTGTTTTCATTACACATTTCCCCTGCATACGGGAAGAGTCACTATTTCATGTCTATTATATTTAGTTTATACTGAGTATGCTTCTGTCTTTGAAAAATTACATGAAATAGATATCTGTAAGTAATAGGAAATCTGGCCTGTCACAGTGATAATTTGAGGAGCTTATGTCTTTGCTCGTTCTGGAGAGTGCAGTCAGATAGGAGGCTGGTTATATAGATTGTGTAGGCATGGTGCTGGAGCAGCATATTAAAGTGCTTCTAAATCAGTTTTTTGCCTTGCTGAAACTTTGTCCAAGTGAAGGTAAAATTCCATCTGTTACTTGTCAAGGCAGCCTGAGGTCTGCTCTGAGGGAGAATAAAGTGTATGCGTGCTGGTTAGCCATGCTAGTTTTAACCAGTCTATCTTTATGGATAGATGATTGAGACTGAGGCCAGGATACAGTGTAGAATTATTAAACCTTACATACTAACTTCCTGGTTACCTACTGGCACTTCTTTATTTATATTAAGTTTCCAGGTGTAGCTAAAGTGGGATTTTGTTCCTGTGATGGATGGATCTCAGGCAGCAATTGGAAAATACTCTTATCTTCACCGATACAATTGTCTTCATGGTTTAGGGAATTGACTTGCATCAATACACCCTCAATATACTGTGTCTTTCATTTGCTGTGCTGGTGTGAGGTGTGTATTGAATAGATGGCATGGGCCATGTCTGATACCTCGAACAGTGCCTGTGCAAATTCCATCTGCAATTAGTCTTTTCTAAGGCATGCTGCAGCCTTCAGAAAGAGGTACTTACACAACTGGGCAGTATTTTCTTTCCTTATGCCAAATACATCTTTATTTTGGCACTCTTTCAGTAACATGTTTGGCAGTTGGGTCTGAGGAGAGCTTAAAGCATGCTTGATGGGCTGTTGAACATGAATTCTGATTATCCTCCTAGAGGTAAAATACAGAAGAGCATTTTTGTCCAGTTTTGAACTCTCATCACTGAGCTTAAAACACCTTTTGGTTAGAGAGTATTAGTACAGCATCTATGTGCATCACACAATACCAGACTACACTTCCATTTCACATGAGGGCTTCTATTAATAATGACTCATAGCTTTGTAGATATAGTTGCAAAATAATTGTTTTCTCTGAACCCATTAGAAAACAATGAAATTTTACAAATCACAGAACTATGCATGGTTTTCAGTTGCCTGAAAGCTTCCAAATGAGGGGATATTGGGGGGGGGGGGGGGGGGGGGGGGGGAAGTTGTAGGTGTAGGAAGACATTCTTTTCTTTTCAAAAATACTAGAAAAATGCCTTCTAGTGTGAGGCAATGATGGCAGACATATGACTAGTACACATGATGTTTAAGAGTATAAACAGTGTCAAGAGATGCTCAGTAAATAAATAGTTCAAGTAACATAGCTACTTACAGCTACACAAAATAGTCCAATTCATGAATATTAGATGTATTTAAAATTTTAAGTGGAAGCTTAGCTGTAGCTGTCTCTTTCCTGCCCTGAAGCTACTTCTATTAAAGTTAATAGCATGTCTGGTTTCCAGAGAATTGCCATGAAATGTTCTGACAGTGGAGGGGAGCATTTGTTTTGATAAGTGTATTGAAATAGCTTGTTGGTACCTCTTGATGCAATAATGTGTGATAGAATAATAACCATATTTACTTTGAGTTTTCTCTAACTAAGTTTTATACATCCAGATTAGGGTATTGTTGTAAAAGACACTGAGCTTTTAAAATAAATTTGGGAGATCATATGCTGCCAATGTCCAAGGTGAAATAAGGCATCAGTGATTAGAAATGGATGTGCTGCTGCCTGAAGCGGACAGAATGTTTTCAGGAGCAGTACCTCCTAAGCTTTTACCTTTTCAACATCATCTCCTAATAACTGGTCCTTGAAAAACTACAAAGAGGCATAATAATGCATCTTTGTCAGAAAGATAATGAACAGCAACAGAAATTATGTCTAAAAGGTCAAATATAGAAAATTTGTTAACCATGTCTTTCTTTATCTATGCATTTATTATCCTTTGAATTTTTAGTCTAACAAAGCATTGCTTTTTCTGAGTGAAGGCCCTTCCATTTTTTTTTCTGTTTTTCAACCAGTTATAACATTCTTTCACCAAGATTGTGTTCCTTTCTAAGAGAAAGGCTCAGATGTGTGGATTTTGGTGAGTAAAGAGGGAAGCACACCATACTTGAGATCTATACCTTATTTCAAGGTTTGTGAAGTTACCATTAACTTGGCAGTGGGGAAAAGGACTGAATTACTATCTACAGAAATTGTGAAGTGAGACAGCATTAGCATGTACTTTAAATCTAATATACCCAATCATTTATTTTGCACATATTACACGGTTATATGTAAACATAAGGGATCTGTTGGTCCTAAGAATATGTCAACTTCCATTTGAAACAGTTTGGCATGTGCTACAATTACATAGTGAGACAAATAAGGTGCGTCACCCTGCAGAGGGAGCCGTTGGGTTATCGAGCCAACCATAACTACTGTATTTTTGTTGCTGGATTTTTTGTGTGTGTGTACTTCATTTGTTGTGTGGTTGATTTGAGGGGTTTGATTTGGTTGGTTTGGTTGGTTTGAGGGTTTTATTTGTATGCGGTTTGTTTGTGTTTTGTTGTTTTTTAATACTGAGCTTGCAAGAATGTTTACAGTTTTAGTTTCCTTCAGGCTTTGCTAAATTTTGCAGAAGCTCACCTCTTAAACGATTTGTCCTTCCTAGAGGTGATAATTACATGCTTAGTGCTTTCTCTACTAATGAAACAAGACAGGAAAAGAGGTCCATCCTGTTCCAGGGTACCAAGGACAATGCTTAATTTGTATAAAATGCAGCAGACCTCACAAGGGTACAGACTGTCCAAGCATCACAAACTGCTCTGTGCAGATGGGAGCAGCATTCTGCTGTGACTGAGGAAAGGAGGACTGAGTTACTTTCATAGGAAGGAAGCCTTACCACCGCGGACAGTCTAATGTAACATGCACAGAGAAGAGGTGGTCTTTACTTACCAGAATTGTATTTGTTGTTGTTTCTAGTTTTAATTATACTGTACCCCACCATTGCTAGACTTCTTCCAAACCAGAAGGCTTGTTTGCCTGTCGCTGAGGTAACTCTGGCATTGCCTCAGATGTTGGCAGTAGACACATGCTGGATTGTAATTATGTCAGACTGAGAGTTCCTCTTGGAAAGCTAAACCTGTTCCATTTGCATTTTGTGTGGACTCAACTGGAAGACACAGACCTATTCTAAGAGATTTTTAATTGCAAAGATCTTCAAGATATCTTTCATGGTGCAGTGTCATACTCCTTGTAATGTCTCCTACCTCTTACTCTCAGGAATTCTCTTTTCACTTAAAGGTATTTATTTTGCTTTCTTCATAAATAAGTGTGCCACCAAATTAGGAACTCCACTCACTTCAGAACAGTAAAAGTCTGAAAAACATAACAAATAATTTTCACCAGACCGTCAGTCCATTTCCTACTATTTGTGACACTTTTCCCTTGATTTTGGAGTCATTTAGCATCTATAAGAAGGGATGTACCAGTGGTCTGCAGGATTTTCCTGTGTTATGACAGGCTCATAGTGTCTTTCTTGGTGTCAATGTGAAACCAAGGAGAGCTCCTGTTCTTTCACAGGTCCAAACGTTAGTTTGTTTAGTCAACTTTAAATCTGTGTTGCCTGGAAAGAGTTTTCCTATATTTTCTGGCTTGTCCTTGTGTCTTTATATCCTTTCTTAAACAGTCCTCCTTTGGCTCTTCTATACCCTGGTTTAGATAATATTGGAGGCTTCTCTCCCCACTGAAGTTTTCCATTCTGAAGAGAGAGGAGCATGCTTTAATATTAAGACCTGCTAGTTTTTCCCTAGTAGATTTTCAGTCCAAAGGTCTCAAATGTGGCTACATTTTGGTCAAATCATGATGAGACTTACTAACTTGTAACATCTTTCCCAGTGACACTTCTCCAAATCTAACTTGCTTAAAATTAAGGGCAAGAATTTTTAATATTTTCTCAAGCTGAAGAATATACATCGAAGGTCTGAAAACTATGTTGGGGGATGAGAAAAGACCAGTGGAATGGGGAGGCCAGGAAGCAAACAGCTTCAGTGCTGCAAACAGCTCTCCCTATTCCTTTCCCAGCCAGTAAAGTGCATGTTTCTCCTGCCTCCCTTTCTTCACTGGGTAACCCTCTGTCCCAGGCAAAATTCATAATTCATAAAGGCAGGGTAAACTTTTTTCCCCATCCCTAATGGATTCAATTCAGTGCATGCTGCTTGGACTGTTATGTAAACACGGAAATCTTTCACAGTGATTTTACGCTCGTATAAAACTATGCTAGTACTTTAGTTAGGTTTTGGCTTTATATTTTCTCATGTCCACTTATGTCTTTGTAGCTCAGCCATCTCGTTGCTACTGTAAATGACCTTGGAAAAGATTTGGCCATGCAAGTCTCTTCTTGGAGGCTTTCACATGAGTCTGTAATGATGCTTTTTTCCACTGCATGTCTGGAAGTCCTGAAAGCAATAGCAGCATTTTTCTAACAGATCTACTAGATAGAAACTGGGGGACTCCTGATCCAGGTGGTGGTACACTGTAGTTCAGGCAAACCTGTGTGGTACATACAATGATTTTACTCAATCCACTGTTGCCCAGGGGATTGGCAGCAGAAGCCTGCAAAGCCCTGGTGGCACTTAGTTCCCACCTGAAGAGTCACTAAGACCTGGGCTTGGAAAGCTGAGTGGGGCTGAGGAGCCAACGGTCACAGCTTGTTCTTCGTGAGTGATAAGTGAACAGGGGCTCAATGCAGCTGGGTCAAGAAACACTGGCCAGGGAGTGCAAAAACCAGCATCTGACTGGAATGGACTGTCTGGAGTAAGTATTATCAGTTATCAGCTGGAAGAAGTAGAGTTATTCAGCTTACCTTGAAGCAGATACATGTGTTTGATTAAATGCCAAGTTATGTGGACTCCACTGCCCTTTATCAACTGAAAACTGTATTGACAGTGATGCCTGCTTGTAGCAACTGCATGGCCTCAAGTTGCTGCTCCACAAGGGTGCAGGTCACCTGTTGATCCTGTATCAAATTTATCAGATATCTGTGGATGTCTTGAATACCCTGGAGCATCTCAGATCGCAGTAGCCACCCATATGGGTGCAAAAGTATGGAGACTTACATCTCCACTGACTACAGTGGAAACCTATGCATTTAGTTCATATCCAAGCATCCAAATATGGCTGATTATGGCTTGAATCGTCCACTTCTTGGCTTTTAATACAATGACTGTCACTTCATAGAGTTCTGTTGCTGGCTCCTGTTTCCTTCCCATCTCTTTCTTTATGTCTTGAGGAGACTAGCATGAACTTTACCCAGACAGCATAGTTAGCTGGCAGTCAATAACCTAGCACCATGGCTGTCAGATGTAATAGTGCTTTATCTAGATGCATGGTCTTGCCCAGTTTTTTACAGTTATGTCAGGTGGCTGGCAGTTTGATGCAAGCAGTTGTCTGGACAATACTCTGTGTGTATTGTGATCATTGCTGATTTCTCACATGAGTTTGACACTAACGAACATGGTTCCACTAAATGGTGTAATTTCCTTGGAATAGGGTATTCTGACTGAAAAACATTGCACTGAAATGTTTTTGGCTAGCACTACTTGGGAAGAATGAGACAAAAAGAGGTCTTTCAGTCTTTTCTATAAATAAAAAGTCTTTAAACATGTTTATGCCATAGCAAGTCTGTAGGGCTTCTTGTCATTTCAAAGTGAGCAGCTGCTGAAGTATTATAGGCTTCAACTGGGGATAGTTAATGCTACTGTAAAAGTAGCAGAAGTGAGGGAGAGAAATTGTTGAGAATGTTACTCCTGAAAATCATGTTCTAACAGAAGTAGTTTTTCTTGGAACAGATTATTAGTCTG